AATTATAATTATAATTGTGTTTTTATTTATTTTGAATTACTGTATTAGAACATATTATACCTTTAGAACATATTATAACATTTTACCTTTAATATTATAACATATGTGGCAGTCTCCCGACCACACAATCGGAACGGTACGCGCGCCGCGCGCGCGTCAACCGATCACGCGCCGAGCGCGTGGGCCAGACTGCGGCCCGCGAAGCTATACGAGAGGGCCGCCAACAGGTGGCAGACTTTCTCGCGTTTCATTTCCAGTCAGGGAAGAATAAAAGGCCACACGGCGACGGCCTAGGCAGCTTTCGACTGCTCTCAGGCTCACAGCCAAGACCAGGAGAAGTCTTTTCACTGAGACGAGCTGCGCCACTTCGTTTGCCGCCACCGAGACACCCTCAGCGGCCCCTGGACTACCGTCCAGGCCAACCGTGGAAGCTCGTCCCGCTCCAGCTCTCGCCGGTGCGACTGACTCGTCTTCCACGCATACTCATCTCAACGTGGAACGTGAGAGCCCGGCGCTACACTTCTCCTCGACTGTCGTGGACAGTGCCTCCACTCCTGTCGCCTCTGCCGCCATCACCTACCGAGCGGGCACATCAGGGTACGCAGACCATCCCTCCGGCGCGCGTGCACCGAGGCGTGCAACACCAGCCTCCACGCGACACTCAGGAGGTACAAACTGACCCGGAGTGGGAGGTCACCTCCTCACAAGGGACGCAGACCGACGAGCCACCGGCACTGGCGTCGGAGTCCACACAGACCGAGGAGACGGAGCAGTCCCACACTCCACCGGGGACACCGCCGGCTTGGCGGAAATACAGCTCTTTCCGTAGGACTAAAACGCAGCCGAGCATCATCTGGCGTGAGCGCCTCCGAGAGTAGGAGAAGAAGAAACCAATCGGCCCTTCTCAGGGCCACAGCACAAGAAGAACCCAAACGGCCCTTTTCAGGGCCGCCTCCACGGCCCTTCTCAGGGCCTCCCTCAGCACACTGACACACCAACATATGTAATATAGGACAATAGAATAAACGACCTATTTATCGTACATCTGTCTCTCAGCTCACTCGACAATCCTTCTCACGCTGCGGCATCTCCTCTGCGAAGGGCACGCGACGCCCAAACAAAAGTGGCATAGCGGCCACAACATATTTTAACATTTTACACTCCTTAATATGATTAAACATAAAACTGATTCTTCAATTAATATAAAGGAACATACTTTGGTATTTATCACAGCTAATAAAATAAAAAAAACCAGTCTTTTTTTTGTGTAACAAAACAAATTAAAATAAAGCCTCAAATAACATAAAAGTAAACATTTTGGTATTTATACCAAAATATTGATATGATACCAAATAAAATATTATTATAGAACAACTAAACCAAAAAAATCAAATTTACGCATACATTTTAATCTTAACTTAGCGATTCCAAATTAAATTGAGTACTTGGCTATCACAGCTGCATTAAACCAACGCTTATACATTTAAGTATCAACACGAGTTTCAGAGTCATAGTCCCCTGAATGTTTTTTAGTGTAGTCTTTCACACCTGCTACCATGTCCATGACACATGACAGCCGTTCTTCCTCAGATACTCTATTAAGTGCAACGGCTACAAAACCTAACATTGCTTCTATATCTGATAACATATTAGGGCCACCAGGATGGGGTGCTAACTGTACTGGCTGTGATGGTCCAAATCTTTTAAGGGCTGCACCCAGAGATGCAGCCAGAAATGAAACATCTTTTGATGACTGAAAAAGTACGTCATTTGTTTTCTCAGAATCCCGCTTCCTCTTCTTCACAGGATCATTTGGAGGCACTGTTTTGGCCGGCTGAACAGAGGCCGCCATGGTTTTCAGACTTGTTACTGAGGCGGTACCTTCTGATGCTTTCTGAATTGCACATTTATTTCCTTCTGTTTCATTGGATATGTTGGTTCCACTTGTATTAGTGATGTCTGAGTCCAAACCTATGCAATAATAAATAATGAAATATCATTATGTTGAATCAAAAATAATATTTAGTTGAAAAAAATTTTTGAAAGACTTACTAGATGAAGGAGATGAGGACAAGCAAATAAGGTCTGAATTCCATATAGGCGAAAGTGTAGATTGTTTGCCTAAGAAACAAAGAAAATGCAAAAAGGAGAATTTAGCTGATTTGCGGATAATACAGCCGATATTTTAAACAAGCTGAAAACAGGGGATTATTGCCTACCTTGAACAGCAGATGACGGAGATCGAACAGCTGAGAACTCGGGTCGAACAGCAGGTGACGAAGATCGAACAGCTGAGAACTCAGGTCGAACAGCAGGCCGTTGAAAATTTGAAGTTGTTCTGTGAAAAGTCATATTACTCTTTAACTTCTGATTAGATTCAGGGATCGTATTCTCGAGCCTGCCCTAATGATTTTTGTATGCGACTTTCTATTTGAAAAGCATTGAATTTCGCATGCGAGTCATAAAAACGATTCGAGAATAGGGTCCCAGTTAACATGAATAATACATACTGTCGGGCTATAATATGATCCGCAAGGAATAGAAGGTCATTGTAAAATATCCAAGTAGACTGGTAGGTAGACGTGTCAGCCCCAGCTCCTGATTTTGGTATTGACATTGTGACCTTTTTTTTCTTTTCCAAACTTTTCACGGAGACGATGGAAAAGTTTTTCTGCTTGCAAACCTGAAAACAGAATGAAGTCAGACCATATAATTGTTTAATTTTCTATAATTTATTTACATTAAAATAATTTTTTTATATATTATTTTAATAAAAAAATTAATTAATTTTATATTTTTAAAATTAAATATTTTACTAATACTTTAAATATAAAAATAAAGTAATTTTTAAAAATATATTATTTTTCATATTTATTTTAATTTTGTATTTTTTTATATATTTATATATTTTTTAATTAATAAATTGCTATTTTATTATAATTAAAATACAATTTTTTTTATTAGCAACAAGTTCCTAACCTATAAATATGACACACATTTACTTACCAGTGAGTGCTGGTGTCATTGCTGCTTCTATACTTGCCCAAGTGAGGGATTTATCTTGGCACTTGCTGTAGCCCTTGCTTCTTTTTACGTACAGTTGTGTATTGGGGCACACAAAGTGAATGAACGTACGGATATATATCGCACGTTCTTCCGAAACGTTATTCCCTATTGCTTCATTACTTTCTTCCTCATTATAACTTTCTTCCATGTTTTCAACGTTCACACTATATAGAAGTAAAGCCGGCGATGATACTTCTTCTGGCACAAAAGTTTCTTCACGGATAGCATCGGCCATCCGGCGATGATACGTGAGCGACCCAAGCCGTTAATTTAATCTACAAAACAGTTGGCGTAACGTGGGCGCAGGCGTTGGAAATAAAAATAATTTATTTCTCCTGCTCCGTTGCGCCGCGCCGCTACGATCAGGAACAAACTTCTTGCGCCTGCGTCTGCGCCCTTACGCCGTCTTACGCCTTGTCGTGTAGACGAGCCTTAAAAGCTGCGTAGACACCGTTAACGACACCGACAATTGTCGGTAGTCGGTTACGCCAATTACGGAATACGGTCCCTGAACCGAATATTTCTTCACACAGTGATATAGCCTCAAATATCAAATGCATCCATTATCTATGAAACTCATACTAACGAAGATGTTTTTACCGTACACGGCGTTCACGAAACGATCTCACTAGACATGAAGTTATAACGTATATTAATACGTTATATTAGAATACTCACAACACTCACAACGGTAGGCACGTATAGCCAGAAGAAAAACGAAATGGCAGAAACGCACGGGCGAATGTATAGCCTTTGTTTCTCAGCAGCAAGTACGCCATCTATTTGTGAATAACGGCGCCCTTGTATACATAAAATATACCAAATCATTCGGTTATGAGGACAAGGCAGTTTTGCTAAAACAACTATAATATTTTGTTAGTATATATAAAGTTTACATTTTAATGAATAAAAAAATAAAATTGTATTTATTAGACATTATTTCAGTTTTTATGTAAAATAAAATGTCATTAGTATGTAGTTTCTAGTGTTTCTACGGGTAAAATAACTAAAATGCTTAATTTTTGTATGTGAAGTCTCAGAACAAAATCATTTGGTCTACAGAACAAATCAGAAAAATATATTTAGCATAAGTAACTAAATATTTTGTTACGGAAAGCAAGATATTTGGTTGCTGTTAAAAAAACGTCTTAACTAAACAGTTTTGTTGGAGACACTAGATTTTCTTTCCTAGTGTTGAAAGTTACAGTATTGTGACATAATATTTTGTTAAGTATTTATAATTCAAATTCCTTACTTTTTATTCTTGCAAACAATACGAATCAATTAATGTAAAAAAAACACAATTTTTTTAAAGAAAAACTTGTGTAAGAGCATAACGTGGTACAGTAGACTAATCTACAAAGCTGAAGAACAATTTTAATGCCATTTACAATGAGTGTAATTTTTGTACCGTTGTTAAGAACAATGTCTAAAATATCTGGAATAAACTATTGCGCGGTGTGTAATCCCTGTAGGCATTCATATTCATGCATTGTTTCATTCTTATAGAATGTCTATTCACCAAGTACATATTGAATTATTTTCGACAAAAACTTAAATTAAGCGTGTAACGATGCACTCCTACGCAAGCATCGTTCCCGGCCACCACCCACCGGATGCCGCCCGACCGATCTTCCGTCGGGCGTGAACAGGGCGCGGTGCGCCTGCATTATTTTAAACGATCCGAAATGCACCTGTGCGCGGGCAAAACGCCGCACCGGTGCCTTCCCCGCACGGCGCCGACAAACGCCAAAGGGAGCCGATCCGCGCCGAAGGCAAGCGCGCGTAAGCGTACCCCCGCGCGGCTCGCCTGGAGATCGGCCTCCCTCCCACCGGACCCGCCACGCCGGAATATATAAGCCGACGATCCGGCGAGAGACTTTACTTCGTCTCCGACCCAAGCCTTCAGCTATCTCCACGAAGCCTACCGACTCCTAGGGCGACACACCAAACGAGGTTCAGCGCTCTGCGCCTCGACCGAGGGCTCTCGGGTGTCCCCGACTTTCATCCAACGCCACTCCCGACGGCCGCGATTAAGCGGGGTCGAGCACGCTCGGCTTCGCGACGAGTACTCTCGCCGCCGTAGCCCCGGAACTCCTCAAGTCCAAAGATCGCGTTATTTCGTAATACATGCGCCGGGCACACATGCCCCGCCTTCCGCTGTAAATACCGCGTCCGTCACCGTATTGTAATTCGTAATACCGCGCCGGGCACCCATGCCCCGCTTTCCGCTGTAAATATCGCGTCCGTCACCGTATTGTAATACCGCGTTCCGTCACCGCATTTCATAATACCGCGCCGAGTGCACATGCACCGCCTTCCGCTGTAAATATTGCGTCCGTCACCGTATTGTAAAACCGCGTTCCGTCACTACCGAGTGTAACACTGCGTTCCGTCACTACCGAGTGTAACACCGCGTTCCGTCACTACGTACTGTAATACCGCGTTCCGTACTTTCGGTATGTACAAAATTGAATAAACTATTTCGTGTGTATTACAATCTGGTTATTGTCTCTGGGCCATCTATCGAACTCCTGATTCGGCGAGCTAGTCGGCGTTCGATCCACAAGATAGACCGTTACATAGCGCCCGAACAGGGACCGTTTTGATCCTAGAGACAGTAATCAAGGTACACCATGCCAAAGTCTTGGATATAAAAATTATCGAAAAGCCAGCTCATCGCCGAGCTCGAGAAACTCGAACTAGACCTCGACGACTCGGTCAACGAGCTCTGCCGACGCTTGAGCGCCTACGTAACCGAGCACCCAGAAACGGTGCCGTCCGCCGCCGCGGGAGGCAGCCAGACGCCGGCTGCACGGGCTGCACCCACGATTACCGTGCACCCGTTGGAAAACATCCGCCTACCGGCGATAAACCAGCGCCTGCCGCTATCGCCGGCCTTAACATTTCACACGCCGCCGCCAATAACGACGCCATTCGAAGCCTTTTACCCGGTCGCGAGTGACCGCCCCAGCGAGACGCCCGCCCAAGTCATGGACCAGATCCGGAAATGAGGGTGTCATTTCGACGGGAAGGACCCTGTAGCCTTCCTCGAGCGGCTCGAGGAATTAAAAGACGCGTATCAATATTCCGGGGCGCAATTATTAATGGGGTTGCCGGAATTGCTTAAGGGCGACGCACTCCTCTGGTGCCGGAACAACTGACCCAACTGGCAAGGGTGGGAGGACTTCTGCACCGACTTTCGCGAGTACTACTTGCCACGCCGGTATCGCGCCAAACTAGTTCGCGAGATACAAACGCGCCTGCAAAAACCGGACGAGCCGTACCGAAAGTTCGCAACGGACATGCTCACAATGATGCGACGGGCCACCGGATTCGCGGAAGAAGACCAAGTTGAAGCGCTGTACGAGAACATGCACCCGCGTTATCAAATGTACATCCGCCGCGACACCGTGACGCGTACGCAGGACATTCTGCGCCTGGCGGAGGAATTCGAACATATCAAAGAGCAGACGCGCGCACGACAAGCCGTCACCCCGAAACCCGCGATCGCTGCCACAGCCTACAACCGTCAAAAGTGCTGCTGGCGGTACAAACAGCGAGGCCATACGCGTTTCGATTGCCGGCGACCACCGCGCCGTTTTTGCTCCCAATGCGGTCGGGATGGCGTCTTCACAAAAGATTGCCACCCGCGCGCCGTCGGGAAATGCCGCTCGGACAGGGGAAGAGGCGGCCGTCCCCCGGCCTTCCGACTAACGTACAAACCGCGACCGCACCTCACCGTCGTGGGAGCAAAGCAGCCGTTCGACGCGCTACTAGACACCGGCTCCGAGGCCTCGTTTGTAAACTCGCGCACCGCCGATAAGCTCGCCCGCGACTTTCCGATCCAGCCGGTCGACGGACGCGTGCACCTCGCCGACGGGTCGAGCACCGCCATTCCAGGCCTGATAACATTCCCGGTCACAGTGTAGGGAC